GCTCCAGGAGGCAGGGATTTGCATCCATTTTGTTCACTGTTTGTTAGTAAGCACCTAGAACACCATCCAACACACGGTAGTTCCTCCATAAACACTTATCCAGATACTGAGTGACCAAATCATTCTGGAACTCCCAAAATCTCTGGTCATTCCTCAGCTCCTTCAAGCCCCATTCTGCCTCTACTTGCCCACAAAATGTTAGTGTTCTCAAGGCTCCATCGGGGGAGTGTATAGCTTAAGTGGTAGAGTGCAAGCTTAGCTTACACAAGGTCCTGGGTTCAATCCCCAGAACCTCTTATAAAAATTAAGTAAGTAAACCTGATTACCTATGCTTGCCTCATAAAAAAAGTAAACCTCAGAAACCTCTCAAGTCTCCATCATCAGGGCCTTATTTTCTCATTCTGTTCACTGTGTGCATTGTGTCGACAAGGTTTTTCTAAGGTTCATCTGAGGATCACAAAGAGAATGCACGTAAGGTATCTGTATCTGGCCTTGGCACAGTAGACTAATAGTTATCATGTGAAAACATACAAAACATAGAAAATTGATATATAATTTCCACAAGGAAAAAGCTGATGTGCACATGCTTGTGTGACCATGAGAGAGAAGCTGTGTTCTACTGAGTTGTTGCTCTGGGTTACAGCTTCCCATGGCATCTGGACCCAGCATGATGAACCCTGTCTGTCTGGTGAAAAGACAGAACAGCCAGATGACAGTAAATCCAAATGCACTGAAGATTCTCGACCAGATATCTCAGCCTGTGGTGGTGGTGGCCATAGCAGGGCCGTATCGGACGGGAAAGTCCTACTTGATGAACCGCCTGGCGGGACAGAACCATGGTGAGTAATGCTCAGGGCTGCTCAGGGCCGTGTGCTTGGAAGCAGGGATAATGCAGGTGTTGAGCCTCCTCCAGGGTCCTGCTCAGGAAGAGCCTAACCCCTCACACTGAAGGGGACTTCTGACTCTCACCACCAAAGGATATGAAATTTACTCTTTTGTCTAGTAACAGGGAATTCCCACACCTGTCAAACCATCCACCTCCTTAGTCCTGATCCCATCCACTCCCATCTGCTCAGGGGCTCATCTGCAAACATTATTCTCTTCTTTTCTCCTTCATCACTTTTGTCCTAAACCACAGGGTTATTTCAAGCTGCACACAAACACTGTCCAATATGTCCTATTTTTTTAAAGGAATGGAAGGAAGAACGGACAGCAAAATCCCTGGATCCCATATGTCAGTGGGACTACTACCCCTACTTTTGGCTTTATTTCACAGGAAAACTTTCATAAACTTCACTCTTTTTCTTTCTCTATGTAGTATTTTCTAATATGTGAACTAGAACACATACAGAAGAGGGTGTAGGTATATATATTTTTATATATATAATAAAGTTGATAAAATGTTCAGTCACTGTTCAGTCAAGAAATAAAACATCACCAACCCCCAAAAGCCCATGCACGTGCCTCACATCCTCACTAGAGCTAAGCCATCCTTTCATTTTTGTGCTGTATTCTTTCATGCTTCCTGTGTAAACATGAGTTTACAATCTATGTATATGTTTCTAAAACACAGCTTGGACTTTTTATAGGGAGTTGTAAGCTGGTATCAATTAGGGTCTTGCTTCATAGTCTTGCTAAGATGTTTACAAGGTCGATCTAGTTCATCATATGTGTCTATAATTATTTTCACTGATTGCAGAGCATGCAGTTGTCAGAGGGCACCACGGTGTAGTCACCCACTGGTGCTGATGGACGTTGGTATCAAGTGCAGCTCCGCTGCTTCATGAATGGTGCTGTCATGAGAGTTCTTGTCTCTGTATCCTGGTGCACATGTGTACAGCTTCCTTGTGTGATGTGCCCAGAAGTGGACTTGCTGAGTCAAGGAGTCTTTATGTTTTCAGCCTTCCTAGATGGTATCGAACAACCTTTTAAGCTTTCTGTTCAATGTGTATGCTTATCAGAAGTAATTTAGAATTCTTCACATCCTCATGAAACCTTGGTAAAAGCACTTTTACCTCTTGCTGATGTGGTGTGTGTATAGTTGCATGTTATTTGCCTCAATACAATTAAAGTTGAGCGCCTATCCACAGATGGGTTTGTGATTTACATTTCCTATCTCAAGAAATTTGGGTTTTTTCCTACTAAGTTGCCTAGTTGGTTCTTACCAATTCCTGGGACAATGTGCCTGTGTGCTAATGAGCATTTCTGTCTGAGAAAACCACTCACCATTTGTTTCCTAATGTCCTCCTCTATCTCAGTGGCTCACAGGATTAGGTGGTACGATGTCAGTTCACTAAACTTGAAGGATCTCAGGAATGTCTCATTGCCTGACTCAGACTCTCTCTGTATTTCTCTCTCATTCTCTTATTTTTTTCCTTTCTTTTCTCTCCTTCTTGCCTTGCAATCTCTCATTGGTTTCAAACAAAACACAGAATACTTCTCTTTGCTTTAGAGGAACTCTTGACCATAAATCAAGGAGTTTTCCTTGCCAGGCTGAACATAATTGTGTTTTTTTTTTTTTTGAGGGATTCAAGTTTTGAGAACACTAAGAAAAAGATACCAGTCAAGGAATTTCAACAATGTCCTTTTCAATTCTACTCGAGTTAATATCAAGCAATAAGGAAGTGATTTCCCTTACGGAGGAAATCCCTACACTAGTTTTGTTTTAAAACACCTGAACTGTGACCCACCACACCAGTCATACCACAGGGAGAGCAACACACACACACATTGTGCCCAATCAAAGAGGGTGAGCATAACCAGGTCACCACTGTCTCCTTGTGATGACTTCCGTCTGGTCCTTTCCTGTCTTACTGACAGTGATGAGCACCAGATACACTTTATCTTTTCTCCTGGGGAAGGTCAGATTGCTCTGCATTAATCAGCAAGCAGTCAAGTACTATTATGATGTGGAATAGTGCATATCATCTCAGGTGTTATAGCCCCTCCGTGCAGAGCACACCACATGTGGAAACTGAAGGGCCTGAGCCAAGCGGAACTGCGCTGCCCTCTGTGTGTCATCACATCCATTTCTGTTCTCAGGTGAAGGTGGCGTTGGCATGTGACAGATGCTATAAATCTTGGACAAGATATATTACCTGCAGCTTCTCAGGCATACACTTTGCATCTCCCCCTGTGGGTTTAAGCCTTTGTAAAAGGAATGAGAAAATGTGACAGGTCTCTTCTGCTTTCCCTTCTGTTATATCTTGAGTCAATGAACAAATAACTCACCACTTTAGAGGAGGAGAGCAGAAAGGAGGAAAATCCAAGGAGAAAGGGGAAGAAAAAATCTAGCAAAGCTTGCATACTGGTCCAGGTGCTGGAAGGGCACCGATGATCCACTTAAAGGGAAACTGAGGATGCTCACTGGTGGGACAGCTATGCGAGCACCAGCAGGGCAGAGTGAACCAGTGAAGAAGGTGGAGGCGCCCAGGGAGTGGCAAGAGCAACAGCCAGGCAGCCATTGTAACTCCTGCAGCCTGAGGGGACAGGCAGTGAGTGGATTCCATAATGTGCCAAGGTCCAGAACTACTTCATGGTACTAAATCAAAGGATATGTAACCAAGATACAGGAGCAGAGGCGCTGGGACGCTGTGGGTCACCCGAGTGGAAGCTTAGGTCACACATGCCTGACTTCTGG